ATCTAGCCCAGTATCCTGTCTGCCGACAGTGGCCAGAACCAGGTGCCCCAGAGAGGGTGGACCGAAGACAATGATCAAGCGATTTGTCTCCTGCCAATCCTCTCCAGCCTCTGACAAACAGAGGCCAAGGACACCATTTTATCCCCTGGCTAATAGCTTTTTATAGACCTAACCTCCATGAAATTATCTAGCTTCTCTTTAAACTCTGTTATAGTCCTAGCCTTCACCACCTCCTCTGGCAAGGAGTTCCACAGGTTGACTACACTCTGTATAGTCAACCTGTCTGATGGGCTACTGAGGGGTGAGCATGTCACCAAGGAATGATCTTAGGAGAAAAGTTGTAAACAAGTGCTGCACTTAGAGCTTTCCATACAGGGGAAATAACAGAAACAGTATTTGAGATGCTGCTACAAAGCATAGCATTATTTCACAACATGCTCATTTGTATCAAAAAGCCATACCACTAAGGAACAAATTGTACATGTTACAAGTTGTTCTTGTAAATGACAGTGAGCCCTGAAACCTTTGCTCAGGTGAATAACCCTCATGGAAGTATTATCATTGACTTAAAAGGGACTACTCAAGCATCAGCACTACCCAAATGAGTAAGGTTTGTAGGCTAACATCTGATGGAGGAAAGAATAAGTGAACGAAAAAATAATTGTCCAAAAATTTCTGGTTACTTTTATAAGAAAATAATCTCTATCATTCTAGCCTCTCTCCTCATGAGATATTTATAGAAAACTCAAGTTCTTCTGTATATTTTGGGTTTAGAAAGAGGCCGTCTAGTAAACCCATTAAAATTCCTTCATTAGAGGAAAAGAGCAAAGGAATAGTGTTGATAAAGAGGGTGGTTAAATTCAAGCCATAGACAAACTGGGCCATATTTTTTCTTAGATAGCTGGGATATGATATGTGGAATGAGGACCTCCACAATCCATGCTAATTCATTTATATGCTACTGGTTTGATTTTCTATGGAATGGTGGTGAAAGTATGGTTTAAAATGCTTTGACTTAAAGAGTAACTGGGAAATCTGTCTTAACTAAAAGACAGCAGCACATAACTGTACCACTGCTGAAGCTTATCAGAGAATGAATTATGGCAATACCTCTTCTGCTCCTCCCTTGCTCTTGGTCGGGAGTAAGTTACTTCATACCTTTTCATGGAACAGTTTACTTCCTGAAATCCCAGCCAGCTGCTCGGACTGTCAGACAGATGGATGGAGCCAGGACTTTCTCCCTACCTCAAACTTCTCTTCTGAGCTCACTTGATTGCATTGGGGACACATGGGGCAATGGCTCCCACTCTTCTGCCTACATCTGGAGTCACAATCCGAGTAGAGCAAATCAGGGGAGCAAGGTGGAAGGAACATGAGGGGTATGTCCCCTGACTTCTTTGTGCAACCAAATAATAGCTCTTGACACCCTATCCCTTTTTGAATAAGTTTGTACAGCATTTACTAATGAGACTGGAAAATTGAATTCACAACAGAAAAATCCTTAGTATTTTTGCACCACTCTTTACCTGTGTGAATATCATTTCTGTGTACCATGTGATTGCGCAATAGGGAATTTACTTTCACTGAAATGGATGATTAAAGTAAAGGCTTCAGTGAAAAATGTTCTGCTGGAAATTAGAACATCTATAACGCTATTCAGCTAATAAGTGTTGTGTTGCTTCCCTAGGGTGCAGTTTGTGAGAATCTGTGAGCTCCTGCAAGATTTTTACAAAACAAAGCAGTTTCTATTGCACAAGATTGTTCAGATGCTGTATTATCTCTGCTTACTATGCTAAAAAGAGAGGACAAATATAGAAAAGATTTTATGAAATGTTTCTAAGTTAAAATGATTCCAGATTGCATATTAAAACTCATAACTTTCTAAATGCAAAAAGAGGTTTATGTTATATCTTCTCTTTGTTTAGTCAAAGGTGATTTTTGTTTCCTTTGTGAAAACATTATTATACACAACATATGTATTTGGCATATGTTTGTGCTTCATGGTAACCGTTGCTTGTAGTTACACTTAGGACATGTCTAAACTTCATCCCTCTGTTGAAAGAGGAATATAAATTAGACAGATTGAAATTGCAAATGAAGCCGGGATTTGAATTTCCCATGCTTCGTTTGCATAATGGAAGCCGCACATTCTTTCAAAAATGGAGCTTTTGAAAGTGAAACTGCTGTCTTGACGCGGTTCTTTCGGGGAAAACCCCCCCTTTTTCGAAAGATCCTGTACTCATTTTTGGAGGAGTACAGGATCTTTTGAAAAAGGTTTTTTTCCCCCCGAAAGAACCATGTTTAGATAGCGGTTTCACTTTCGAAATCCCTGTTTTTGAAAACGCGCAGCCACTGTTATGCAAATGAAGAGCGGGAAATTCAAATCCCAGCTTCATTTGCAATTTTGATCTGTCTAATATACATTCCTCCTTTGAAAGAGGGATGTAGTTTAGACATAGTCTTAATGATAGTCACATCATGGCATTGGTTATTAAAAATATTTCCTATTGTGTTCAATAAAAAGATCTGTTTAAACACTGATTGTGCAGTATGACCTAAAGTGCCTTGACCTTTGGAACAAGCAACTAAGGTTGCCACTCCATTTTTTTGAGGAGGGAGGGTCAGGAAAATTCCAGTTATACCCAGCCATTAATCTGATGTTCAGAGCCCACTGGACAATGTTACCATCCACCCACTGTAATGAAAGGTGGGACTAATTTTCAGAATCACCTTGCAATTTGTTTTTAAAAGCCTGCTTAAAATCATACTGCAAATAATTCTATGGGTTCAGTGATGTCAAATCTCCTCCCACGGATGCTTATTCGCTGTTCTCAATGCCCCTCCTTGCTCCAATTAAAAATAATTAATGACGCCTCTTTCAACCCGTTAATGTACACTAAGTTCTGAAACTCTGTAAAAATATATCCATCAAGTTAGGCATCTGTTCTATTTCTGTCCTGATGTTCTAAATAATCCAGTGTAAGGATGGCAGACTCTGTAGGGTTTTTGGGGGGAGGAAGTAGTGTCAAACAGTGCTGCATATTTTATGGTAAGGCCATAACTGTACAGAATACTAACAAAACATGCTTATTTTGGAAAAGACAGAATTATTTATATTGTCACCTTTTCTTTCCCACCATATATTGTCATCTTTATACTGTTATTTATAAAAGAATACTTTGTTCACACTTACAACTTTCCAGCTGCATTATACATGTTTGCACATCCATTGGGAAATTTTTGAGATCCATTGGACAGGACAGTATTAAAGTCAGTCTGAAAGAATACAAAACCATTATTAAAAATATACCTCGTAATACGGAACAAAAGGATCACAGAACAAAAGTGTTAGCACACAGTGGCTACTAGTAATGGAAAATAATATATTTGTAAGATATACTCACACAAACAACTATTAAAAAACCTGAACTTTTATGACTCTCCTGCTTTGTGAGGTGATGATAAATTGAGAGTCAAAACCTATTTATTGTATAATATTATTTATTACAGCCATATTCTCTAACTCAGTGGATATTCCACAAACATGCCCTGATATTTTAAAAATTACTATTAAAGAAGAAAGATAAGATTACAATATTTCAAATCCTTGGCACACAGTTTACAAAGACACTCTCCCCTACAGAAGCCAGGTGCAACTCATGCTGGCAGAGAAAGGCTATGTCTACACTGCAGGGAAAAGTTGGAAACAGATATGCAAATTGCGAACCGCAATTTATGTATCTTTTTCCGCTTTTCTTCCAAAAGAGGCTTTTCCGACATCTGGACCATCTACATGGAGTGAAATGTCAGAAAACAAGCCTCTTTTGGAACATCCCTTCGTCCTCGTAGATCGAGGTTTACAGCAATGCCAAAAAAAGGCATCTGCTTTTCTGAAATTCCTTGGATGCGACAGATACCTCTGGTATCCCGGAAAAGCTCTACAGTGTAGATATAGCCAAATACAACCATTTGTATCCTAAAGGGCAATACAGTTGAATTCCAAACATGAACATGTTAAAGGTATTATTTCAGGTATCACAATTAAAAAAAACCCTGTGATTTTTAAATGGCACAAGCACTTGCATTTTGTCCTAGCTATAATATTTCTAGTATACCATGTTGTACTTCTATAGGCACTAAACTTATTTTAAAATATTATAATATGACCATAATTGATCTTTAGTGTGATACTTGCCAGATATGCCCAGAGAAAGAAAATAGGCTTTCTTTCATAGTTCATATTGTGAATTCATATCATGGAGATATTTTACTGGCCTTTCAGTTTTTGTGTGTGTGCAGATATAACTAATTTCTTTAACAGCTTACTGATAAAAATGATATAGTGTGGATAAAAAATTGACTACTTCTACTTCTTTGGTTCCCAACAAGCTCATCAGAACCCAAACTACAAACTAGGAGACTATAGTTGCATAGAGTGTTGGGGGTTCTTATAGGGATTGGCTTGTTTTGAAATAGCATTATCTTGATTTTTGGCTTACTGTGAAAGTTAATAATTTATTTACAGCATGTGAAACTTGGCAGCCTATGAGGACTCTTTCTTCTGTATGCACCTTCTGTGCAGGAGTCAGGTAAGAATATGCAGAGAGACTGTCTCCTAATAGCAGCTCTTGAGACACAAGTCATCCCAAAAGGGGCTCAAAAAGGTTGAGTTTCATTCCACTCCTCAACCTCACATTGGGTAATAGAGTTAGTCAAACATAGAAGAGAGCAAGTGCAGCATTTTATGAGCATGGTGAGTTAGGGAACTCTGGAGGCAAACTAGACCTGCTATTCCCAGTAATTTGATGCTGTTCCAAACTACCTTCTGCATGGGGCAATGGTATAAGGTACAATTCAGCTATATCATATGAAGCCCAGTTCAGCAAAGGGCTTAAGTATGTATTTAAGTTCCATGGAAGTCAGTGAGCCTGCTTCTTATTTGCAGTATATCTCCTTTACACCACTCTGGCAGTATTAAAAAGGCCATGTCATGTAATTCATAGTGTACATGGGAATCAGGCTTGACTTCCTGTGGTTAAATTCCAATGACTTCAGTTCAATAGAATTTAAGCACATGCTTTAAGTTAAATATATGCTTAAATGCTCTGCTGGTTTGGGGGCCTAAAGAAGAAAATGCAAAGGCTTATTTGCAAATGTAGGCCTTTCTTGCTAATGCAGGATTTCTCCCTCCCTCCCCCGTTCTCCCATAATACTATAAATCTTACTTTATCCAATCTAATTGTTAGCATTTTCCTTTGGGATACTATTCTACAGCTTTTTATGATGCAAGACTAATTTATTTATCTGCTAGAAATTGATATAAAAAGACGCTAATGTAGAAATTTTAAATTCAATGGTCTAAATGTGAGTATAAAGTATTCTGGTTGATCGTCTGAGTAGTGATAGTATAAGTAATCAAGTGGCAGTTGCTTATAATATGTAAATACAGAAATAATGGTGCTTTTTTATTAAGTGGACAGTAATAGAGCTGTTTTATTATGTTGATTGTAAGAGAGCTCTGTGGTATTCTGCTCATTAGATGTAATTGCTAAATTAAAGTTTATTATTATAGACCCTTGAATTAGTACTAAATGTAATCAACATTTTTAAAACTTCATTTGGATCAAAGTTTGGTTTCATTCAGTCTGTAGGAACATTCAGCTAACAGAAAATGCAACAGTGTCTATTAAGAGGATTTCTAATAGGATTTCTTCTTGACCCTTAAACAAAGTATATTAATAAACTCTCTTATATCAGATGCATGATAATTACACCAGCATGAGTCAATGTCAATACTGGGGGTTCTATAGCAATATAGCTAAGCTTGGAATACAGACAAAGATTATAGCAACATAAGGGTTTTCATAGCTGAAGGAACTCTGCTTTAACCCTGATCAATGTTAATTAGATGGATGGACACATTTTTCCACTGACCTAATTACATCTACCCTGGGAGGTAGTTTAGCATAGCAATGGTGATGAGGGTTGTGGATTTTTTTACTGTCTGCCATAGCTATATTTAAAGTATGGATCTAACCTGGAAAAATAGACAATGGGCCTGGTTCCTGGATTACTTTTCCACGCAAAAGTCCCTGTGATGTGACTTGATGTTACTTTTCCACGCAAAAGTCCCTGTGTTTGGACTATTAAAAGACCTGCATACATTTTTCTGCAGAAATGGCAAGCTAAAAAAGTTTTATTATCCATCACAAATCACTTTTGTTTTTAATTATACACTTTCACTTTTAGCTTTACATTATTTATTTAGGCTCTGTACCCTAGCAGTACCTAGAAAAAAACCTTGCAGAGAGAAAGTGATGCAAATTAACTTCCTCAGTGACTATCCTGTTTTACAACCACATCTGTGGTTGAATAAAGAATCATTGTGACTGATCAGAGAAAGATGCCAAAATAAAGATCAGCAGTGACTGATACAAATCATAAAAGGTAAACAAATATAGCAAGTATATGGTCACAAAATGATCTCCCATGGAAATGTCTGTTGGAGGGCAAATATAGGTATGAATTCTACAAGCTTTATGGCAGGTGGATACTGGCAGCATTATCTGACAACAATGGTCGTGATACCATTGAGATATACATCTTGCTGTCTAATTCAACAGGTCAGCTGGCAGAAGGCTTTCCAGCATTTGTGCCCTTTCCCCAGAACCCTGGAGTTAATCCATTTTGGCCTCAAAAGCAAGTTAGAGTAGGAGGCTATTAGGGATTTTTCCATTGCCCCATGATCATTAGTGCACCAAATTTTCTGTGCATGCCTCTTCCCACTGCTGGTGCTCTGTATGCATAGCACCAGCTATGCCTGCTTTACAACACTTGGGGATCCTCTGTAGACAGGGAACCCCCAAGGAAGGGGAAAATACAACTGTCCTTACAGGTCCCCATTATGGGGGTTGACGGATCTCATTCCTTGTCTTCACTGTGTTGAAGTACTAGTCTAAATGTAAATTCTAATTTAAAATAAAGTTTAAATTGAAATGTGTCTCTTTCATGGTCATCAACATATGCATGTGACTGCATTCATCATTCACTTCTGGTCTGCATATATTAGTCACTTGCAATTATGTTTGGTTGAGGAAAGGAAAACTCAGAACTTAAAGGGTTTTCAGCATTCTCTTTTGAATGACTACTTTTTCAGCTAGTGATACTATCTCTATTTTTTTTTTTTTTTTTAGTTTTGAAGGTGCTACAGGACCTTTTGTTGTTTTTTAAAGTGTATTTACTATTTCAGAATTACCATCTGAATTAGAATCATCAAATGCAAAATTAATTCCGATTCAGATGAATACTCAACTGCACTTTCAGAATACAATTTTGAGTCTTTGTCATGAATCGGATCCGTTATTCATGATGCAATATTTTGGCAATTAAACTATGGTTGAGTAATCACTGGAATTATCTTGGCAGCATAAGGACGGGATGAAATAATTGGAGTCTGCTCTTAGCACAATGAATATTGAGATTTTACCTTTAGTACAGGCAGTCCCCGGGTTACGTACAAGATAGGGACTGTAGGTTTGTTCTTAAGTTGAATCTGTATGTAAGTCGGAACTGGCGTCCAGATTCAGCCGCTGCTGAAACTGATCAGTTTCAACAGGGGGGGGCAAAGCAGAGCCAAGCCGCGGAGCGCGTGGGCAGCGGATAACCCTGTCCGCTGCCCGCGGG